GCCCCCTGGCCTCCCAGATTGGGAACCACAGCTATATTCTATACAGTTTACTAAAGAATTACCCTCTTATCCTTTCGTATATTTTACATAATTATACTTTTTTTCAGCCATGTCCAATAATCAAGGCTCTTTTGCATCAACAGCCACATACATCCAGCGACATGGAAGCACATTAATACAGTGATTGGTAGGCAGCTTGTGTCTCGCCCAAGGCCACATCAAAATGCTACAAAGGAGGAAAACGGAACTTAAACCACTGCCTTTGTTTCCAAGATGTTTTCTTCTCATCCAAAACAATTAGAAAAACAGTCTTTGTTATCTCCTTACCTCCAGTTTGCATCTTGATTTTGTCTGTTCCAAAGGTTTCCCATGATAATATAGTGTTTCTTTCCTCCATTTCATATTGTTTTGCAGACTCTAGCTGTCCATTTTCTTTGTTGTTTTTTTCCATGCCTAAATAAATAAATGTTGCAGCTCATTTTTAACATTTGCTCCCCTCTATTTTCATGTTGTTGTTTCTCCCTCTGTCCTCTCCTGTCTTGTTGGACCTTTTTTCTTCCATGTTTGATCAGTATTGGCTTAGCTGACTGTTTACATTTTTTGTACCTGTATATTGAGCTCGCTGTATTCTACTTTTCCTCTGAAGGGTTTTTAAATATAATGTGATTGTATGTTTTATATGTATTAAAATAAGTTTTATTTCAAGTTTTGGATGAAATTATCTTGATAGTCTGTGTTTTCTGTTCCCAGAGTTTTGTTATGAAGTTGGATGGATTCATCTCATGGTTACAAGAGGCGCTAGAGAGCACTGAAAACTGGGCCCAACCCAGGCAGGACTTGGACACCCTTAGGGTGTATTTGGACACTCATCTGGTAAGAGAAAATGTGCTGATGTGTGTGTATTTTTCTCATCCATCGACACTTAATAATATCATCGCATTTTATTTTAGCACCTTCTTATTTCCAGATAGATTTAAACCAGTCTAGTGCTGTACCTTTAATTTTAATAAAATATTCAAGTCTGTCTAAAAGAATATTATGGTCAACTGTATCAAATGCAGCACTTGAAATCCAGTAGGACGAGCACAGATACAAGTCCATTATCTGAGGCCATTAGCAACCTTTACCAGAGCTGTTTTAAAAGGGAAGGGTTAAAGTGCCATTTGGGATGTGGATAAGCACCTAGCTGTAGTTTCAGTGAAATTAGAGCCTGGTCAGAAATGGTGATACTCTTAAAATCTTTTTTTATTATTATCTTTTTTATAATTTAATAATCTAGAACATTTATGTGGGGGTATGTTTATGTTGGGGCAGCGGCGGATTTAGGAAATTTGGGGCCCTAGGCAAAGACAGGCAGGGGCCCCTCTGAATTGAGAAG